ATATAAACAAAATCACATCGTAAAAAATAAATGTGTCAGTGCCATAAAGATTATCAACATCATTAGAGCCATGAGCTAGTAACAGGACTTATGTCTCTGCTGTCAACAGAGAAATGTCTCTGTCCTTTGAAATCATTATGTGTAGCCCCCACTACTCTTACAAACTCTCAAACTTCTAATTGATATTATCCAAACAAAGCAGAAACAACGAAATCTCCGTCCCCTATTAACTGGTTGCTGTTTTCGGAAGAAGCCAACATTTTGTCAAAACCTGATAGAAATCTTAATAACATTTGTTTTAGGGTTTTATAATTTTCAGTTGTAAGACCAGATTTGTATTTAAGGGAACATTTCCTAACCTGCCACTTCCCAAAGCTAACACAAGAAGTGTTTGACTGATAAATAGTATCTGTGCTAACTAAAAGTGTATCATTTAAGGTTCAGCGTGTACGATTTAGGTGTAAGGGATCTATAGGCAGAAACTGGATATAAAATAATCCTAGTTATGTTTTCACTAGTGTGTTTCATCTAAATTGTATGAATTGTAGTTTTCTTTACCCTAGAATGGGCCCTTTATATTTAAAAACTTTACATTTACCTCTGGAGTGGGTCCTCTCTACAGAGGCCGCCATTTTTTTTACAGCCGTCCAGACTGGACTAACTAAACACCTTTTGAGTTTTTATGACAACTGAAGACTTCCACAGGTTCTCTTTCATGTTTAGAATGGGAGGGTGAGGTGAGGGGTGTTCAACTGCAACATGAAACTTCACCACTAGATGTCACTAAATTCTACACACTGAACCTTTAAGCATAAACACATGTAGCACTATACACAGAGTGTTTCTTGTGGAACCTTTTATTTTTTAAAGTGTGAGTGTGTGTGTTTGTGTTCTGTGATACAGAGGTATGCATTTAAAAAGCCATGGTTGAGTTAAAAGATATTTAGATCAATGATGTGATGATAATACATTTGTGATGTATGTGTTGCTGTCTCAGTGTGGTGTTCTATGTTGAAATAAAACTCTGTAATGGAATTATGTGGTCAACTTCAGTTTCCTGTTTTCATCTTACACTTAGATACCTAATTTATACCAAAAGTAGTGGGGAATATGTAGGTTATGTAAACGGGGGTAAACCAGCTAAAACACAATTGACTCCTTTCCCATTGCCAGTAGAGGAGTTTGCCTCTTTTTTTCCATAGTGCATCGTATTCAAAGTCATAAATGTAATGAAAATGGAGAAGCTCTGTCACCTCACTATCTTGGTAAATTAACCAGTTCACCAAGTATGAATAAAAAAAACCTTCTCCACTGGTCAAAAAACTCAATATCACCCACTGACATCTGGCTTTTGTCTGCAACAGGGATGGAGAGTTTTTTCTCTCCACAGTCACCAAAGTGCTTGGTGTGTTCCAGTGTCTCTAGGTCTCTGCCTTTTGATGTTAAGTGAGCTAATGTATATTTGATTTGGTGCTTTACAAACAAATTTGAATTAATGAAAAGTAGGTAACAAGACTGGGGCAATCTGACTTAGGGGCATTTGTGTTTAGGTTTGTCAATACAAGATACACTGAATTTGTTTCAGCTTAAATACACAATCATAACCTCTAGCAGCTTGTTATATTTGTTTGTATTAAACATCACTGACAACAGAAAGATTTCACGTGTTTTATTGGTTTCACATTTCTTTGATTTGTGAAAGAAAAAATAACTGAATAATGATTCTGAATCACATAACGCTACAAGTGTAGTAGAAAACTAATAAAGAGAGGAGATGAGTTCTGATCTGATGTGGTATTATAGGACACTAGACCCTGCTTAAGAGAGAACTTTAAGAGAGCTAAAAGGAAAAGATATATTGGCAGAAGGTTAAAAAAAACCAAAAAGCATGTTTTGAGAAAACTGTGTAAGGTTAGCTGGAGTGGCAGATTGTGATAAAATAAAAAAAACATAGGTTAAGTTTTGGGGATGAAGTTGTGATGGAATTGTGGGTCCAGATAGGCCAATCAAAAGCATTGGACAAATAGCACAAATGCAGAGGTTATGCTTAAACATCTTTACATGACAAGAAGGGTACTTACTGATTCATCAGAGCAATATGTACTTTAATTTTAGTCAATTATTACTACAATACACTCAAAGCTCAATAATGTTCTCCTACAAAAGGGAAAGAGACAGAACTGATGGGGGACCAGCTTACTGTGTTGGAAGAACAACTAAACGCACACTAAATAGGTCCTGATGCCTGAGATGTTTGCATGGTTTGGTATCTTTGTTTGTAACGTCTATAGCAGAGTATCGTCACTGTAGAAATGATGATGAGGACTGTGAGGAGGATGAATACACCAACCCACGCTCCAACAGTCAGCCCTGCAGGATCAATGAAAGTTACAGTTAGACAAAGGATTGTGGCTCATTGTCATCACTCTAAACCCTGAGTATGGTTTCTAACCACTACTGTCTTCACAGAGCAATACTTCCATGGGCAGGTTCCTGTGCTATCCCTCACTCAATATGGAAGAAAAAGGACAAGATAAAAACAATTTAAACAAAGTAAAAAATCAAGTCAAAGTGTCATATGTGTTTGCTATAATCATAGCTTTTATTGTTTATTTTCTTGTCAAATAACTAAACAAGTTATTGTCCATGCCACATACAAATCAATTCTGAAATCTTACTGAAAAACAGTAAAGGGGTTAATTACATTCAGTTTTGTACAGAGGGCAGCATAGATCTGTGTAATCTTTGTTTGTGTGATTAGATTTCCTAATATGTACAAAAAGAATTGTGTAATCAGATTTTAAAATGTGTAAAGAAAATATTTTCAAATATGTATTCAGATTGGAAAGTGTAATTATATCTGTAAATGTGTAGACAAATCTGTAAACTCAAACATGGAAATTAATAGCTGAAAGTATTTTAAAGCTGAAAATACAGACAAGTCATCAGCTTCTGCTCAAGCGGCCTCTCAGTTGTCATGTTTTTTACATGTGACTTTAGCTACACTTCTGTGGTAGATCTGCAGTGACCTGCAAATATACACCTTTAACTGTAGTAGTTTGTATTGAAATGTTATAAAGTCAAGTGCAAAGTAGACCTGGGACGATAACAAATTTTGCTGGACGATATATTGTCACACAAATTATTGCCGATAAACAATATTATTGTCAACATGATAATATATCATGATGACACCCTTTCAAAGACAATAAACTTTTATTTCTCCGTGTTTTTCAGCTTTTGCGATGTAGCGAACTTCACTCTCAATGAGCGCACACCATTCTGCGCTGTTCCGTTCATATTGACTTTGCCGACCGAACACCTCAGTGAGTGGTGACTGTCGGGACGAAGGCTCTGCATCTCGAGCTGCCCTTTGTTTCCCCAGCTGGTTAAACTGGGTCGGGTGGTGATGCTTCAGGTGGGCATGCAACTTTGTTGTGTTGCCTTTTTTTGTTGCCACCACTTTTGAACTGGCTCGTCCGTGTTGACGGGCTCACCTTGCTCATTCGGTTTGAAGCCGAAACATTCCCACACCGGGGCTGTGGCGTTTAGCTTTGCAATCATCTTTTCTCCTCGCGTTGCTCCGCACGACGCTCACTCGCTGCACTCTGTGTGTGTAGCATGTGTGGCTAATGCTAGCGGCCCCGCCTCCCCCCACAGAGACAAAGAGGCTGGATGACTGACAAGAGGGTTCACTCCGTTCATTCCGCAACCAACGCCCCCAGGTGCTGAGACCGAGCACAGAGTGAACCCTCTTGTCATCCAGCCTGCTTGGAGGCGAGAGACGAGGAAAACAAACACGCATGCACATCAGTGGCTGCTGGCCCATAGGGGGCGCTGGGGCTCAGCCCCACCAACTGTTGAGGGGAAATTTGTATTTATTTTTTTATTTTTTTAAATCAATGTCAGTTTTACTTAATAGTGTGTGCCTACATGCAATTTAAATCATTTAAACAACATTTCCACCAACTGACACTCATTAAACAGTGAATTTCCACTGACAGACAGTCTATCATTCTCTCATGGGGCGATCTGCAAAGTGCCCCTGACCTGCAGCTAAACAGCCAATCCGGTTATGGTTGCTAGGGAGAAATTATGAATAATTGGCCAATCAACGTCGACAAATTTAACGCCGGTGGGGCGCTGGAAATTTAGCCCGAACTGCTACGTAAAATGCGTGAAGGTTTAGGATTTTTAAAGCTACATGAGGAGCCAGCGATAGTTTTTTTTCGTAGTGCGACTCCCAGACTCCGCCCTACGTTACGGGGGGGGAAATACACTCGACGACGAGGAGAGAGATGATGGTGATGGCGGCGAAAACCGGAGTTCAAGAGCAGCTTCCACCAAATGTGCTGAAATCATTATTAATGTACCCTTTTGCGAGACGGACGGCGGAGGAAAAACTTCTCGTTAAGGAGCTGGGATACGACAAGCCTGAAATGAACATTTCCCAGCAAATCAAGGTGAAAGACAAATGTTATAAACAGAGTTTTTGTCGGAGCTGGTTCAACCGTAAGAGGTGGCTGGCAGGTTGTGGAGCAGCCAATGCACTTTTCTGTTTCCCCTGTATCCTCTTCAGAAATGACAAATGTGACTCGACTTGGACAAAGACTGGACTAACTGACTTAATGCACCTCTCCGAACGGATCAAGAAGCATGATAGATCCAAAGTTCACATGGAAAACTGCATAAAGCTAGCTGTGTTCGGAAAGATTAGCATAGCAGTGCAGCAAGATGATGGGCACCGCATTGCTGTAAGAAGGCACAATGAAGAGGTAGATAGAAACCAGAATATTTTATCTAAGATCATCGATTGTGTTAAATTTTGTGGTGCTTTTGAATTAGCAATGCGGGGACATGATGAAAGGGATTCCTCAGACAACGCCGGAATAATCAGAGGTTTAGTGGACTTAATGGCATCCATTGATCGGGACTTGAGGGAGCACCTTGAAAATGCGACCGTATTTAAAGGCACCTCGAAGACAGTTCAGAACGAGCTCCTGGACTGTATGCTGACAGTTCTAAGAGAACAGATCGTGGATGAAGTAAAGACAGCTGAGTTTTTATCTATCCAAGCTGATGAAACTACCGACATTTCCACACACTGTCAGCTAGTCCTGGTACTAAGATACATAGATGGACGCAACAATATACAGGAGCGGTTCTATGAATTCATCAAGCTACCCAACAGCTGTGCGGATTCAATAGCCGGTGCCTTATTGGAGAGCCTGCACAGCATCCTTCCTGAAGGACAAGAAAAAAAGTTGATAGCCCAGGCATATGATGGTGCAGCGGTAATGAGGGGTGCCACTGGAGGAGTGCAGCGAAAGATACAGGACATCTATGCAAACGCTCACTACATTCACTGTTATGCCCATCAGTTAAACCTGGTCATGCAGCAGGCAACCTCCCACATCCCTCAGATCAGTCACTTTTTTACCGACATGGGGGGATTTGCTTCTTTTTTCTCAAAATCGAGCAAGAGAACTGCAGTGATAGATGAGATGGTGGCGCACCGACTTCCAAGTGCATCGTCAACACGTTGGAACTTCAACAGTCGCGCAGTCAACACAGTCTATGAGCACAAGAATGATCTGGTGAAGTGTTTTGAGAAAATCCGGAACAGTGAAGCATTTGATGGCCATACGAAGAGAGAGGCTGGAGGCTATGTGAGAGTGCTGGAAGATGAAGCTTTCTGTTTTTTCCTAGCCTTGTTCCATAAGATCATGCCACATGTAGACATGCTGTATAATCAGCTCCAGAAGAGAAACATTATGCTGTCTACATCGCAGGAATCACCCAGGCATTCATTAACCGCATGCAGGCTATCAGGTATGTTAAATGCATTATTATGTAGCCTAGCCTAATTGTTAATTTTCTGCATAAATTATACATAGCCTTAAATGCTTATGTCATATGATTCAAATAATTAATTTATCTGTGAAGTTTAGATTAAATATAATTGCCAGTAATTACAACAACAGCCTTGGGTTTGGTTAATATATCCCTAACCAGTTTTCACAACTGACTCATAAAACTTATGTATTGGATCAGGGAGGCTGTTCCTAATCTGACTGAGGATGAGGAGTACAGGGGACCTGTTCAGGAGCCACCCACAAAAAAACGGAGAACATTGGGAGAAGACACACAGCACCATTTGGCACTGGAGGTAAGCACTTGCTTACACACACACACAGGAACAGAGACACAGAGAGGAACAGAGACACACAAAGGAACAGAGACATTATAAAATAAAATCTAATGAAGATGCTCGCCACTTGATATAGTAGTCCAGACTCAAATGTATATTGTCATTTGACGATATCTATGAATAAGTACAGTTAATCATTTTGGTTTATTACACAATATAGGCTAGCTATTCAGAACATTGATTGTAGTGAGACATGTGAAGACCTGTGTATATGTATATTATCGCATAGGTATGTGACACCATCATGAGCCATTCCAAGGAGAGGTTTTCTTTCACCAAGCACCTCATCAGCGCCACACTCTTTCAAGGAGACTTGTTCCAAGCACAGCAGAAAGTTCCCAGATTCAGCACTGGAAACCACAGTGGAAGCCTATCCCTCATTGGACAAGGCCAGACTTAAAACAGAACTGTCCCTGATCTACGAGAATGAGGAGTTCCGGAGTTGCAAAGGTGCACTGGCTCTCTATCAGGTTTTGATTGAAAACAACCTTGGAGAAACATTCACTGAAACTGTAAGTCTTCTCAACATCATCATCACAACACCAATGACAACATCAGAGTCTGAGAGGTGCTTCTCTACCTCAAAGAGGATGAAAATGACAAAAGACATTCCTGATTTCAACACCAGGGTCATTGAAAAATTTGCCTCTCAAAAACAAAGACGAGCGAAATTCTTGCATCAATAAAACCTGGAGAGAGAGAGAGGAACAGACACATAGAGGAACAGAGACACACAGAGGAACAGACACAGAGAGGAACAGAGACACAGAGAGGAACAGAGACAGAGAGAGGAACAGA